CAAATTAACCAGGTGTGGGGGCCCAATAGTGCTAGAGAAAGCACTGTGCCGCAATGGCTCAACAATGTCGTTCTGGAAATTTCAGCCTTGAAGGTGAGCCTCATAGCGGTCGACCTAAAGCAATATCTGACGAGGATTTTAGGGGATTTTGAAGGTTGACCCATCCCAAACAGTTCGAGAGATAGCAGAAGAGCTAGGCCTTGGCAAATCCACTGTTGCAGATGGTCTGGAACGCATTGGGAAGGTGAAAAACTCGACAATTGGGTGCCCCACAATCGGAGTGACCGGCAGGAATCGGCACGTCTCGAGGTTCCTGTCACTGCTTTTGCGCAAAAGAATTGACCCGTTTTTGAACGGATTTGTCACCTGTGATGAAAAATGGATCATGTATGATAACAGGAGACGTTCCGGACAGTGGTTGGATTTGGAGGAACCCGAGGTAATTTTCAAAGCCGAACCCTCGCGAAAAAAAAATTCTGGTCAGGTTTGGTGGTCATCGGCTGTTGTAATCCACTATAACTTTTCATCACCAGGCCAAACCATCACAGCAGAACCCTACTGTGAACAAACCGACCAAATGTACCGAAAATATTGTCAGCTGCAGCCAACACTTATCAAAAGAAAGGGTCCGATTCTTTTGCATGACAACGCCCGCCCACACGTTTCACAAATCACTATCCATAAATTGAACGAATTGGGAGTTGAAGTTCTACCTCACCCACCATATTCTCTAGACCTTTCACCAACCGACTGTCACCTTTTCAGACATTTTCAGAACTTTTCCTGCTGAGAAATACTTCATCAAACAGGACCAGGCAAAAAAGACCTTCGCAGATTTCGTGGATTCTCGACCACCCAGTTTTTTTTGATGGGATTTCTCGATGTCTGCTGCCACATTGGCAAAAGTGTGCTGATTCGAATGGTGCTTATTTGGATTAAATCCGATGAGTGTTAAGAAAGTTATGATCGTTTAAAGTTAAACACCCAAAACGCTAAGAACTTTCCGGACAACCTAATACTTTTTTAAATGCTGACAGGACTGTGGGTGGTTACCACTTTTCTTGCTCAACTCAAGAAACCACGAATAGACTCGATTGATGAAGAAGTTGGAACGACAACTAATAGTAAGCCTGGTCCTATGAAGGGGTAGTTCTATTGGTTACTACCCCACGTAACGGGTATCCCTAGCATTTATCGACGTGTTAGAGACGCAAAGCAGTAAGGACCGTAGAGAATTTTGTGAAACATTAGAGAGACAAACTTTTTTCTACGCCAACTGAGAATCCGGAGGCCAAATCTGTATATCTGAAAATAAAATCTGCAAACTGCTTCACATTGTCCTCGTTAGTTTTCCTGCCTTGGGGCCCAAGCAAGATACTCCTTAGAAACAAATTACCGAAAAGTTATTGAAAACAAGTTAAACGTCCTATTTTGAGTTCAGCATGTGAAAAGGTTATTTTTGTGGTGGCAATTTTGGCACCAACCCTTACTAGATCCCTATAAATGTTGACTGAGTTTGAAGGTCAGAACGGTGTTGGAAGGGCTATTTATCCATGTGGAGTTTGAGTCCTCAGCGACAAGGGGGGGGGGGGTTGACGCCTGGATTGTGCTGGATTCAGGTTATAATAATAACAGATCACTTTTCTCTGCTCTCCATCCATAAAAACCAAATTTTCATAAACAATGTGAGCAATTTCAGTACGGTATTCTGAAAAGCAAGTTATTTTTCCAGTACTGTGCGTTCTCTTGCTTTGTTTCTTTGCAGTGATTCGCTTTTGGTCATGGAACGTAGGAGTTGTGTAAGAAATGGCTAACAGCAAACTGCGATGGGAGTTATTCATATACCAATTCTGAGGCTGGTTCCGAAGAGACGTGGCAAGAAAAGAAAAGCATGGTATGGGCGCCCCTTTATGACATCCCCGAACTATCTTCGCCGTGGCTAAGTCAATGATGTTATTTGAATAACTTTATCAGCGATGACTCCGGAAAAACTAACCTATGGCTAGGTCGTTATATAAGTTAGGTCGTTATATAACAAAACACCTAAAATAACAGCACCGGCAGGTAGTTCAATTCCACGCGAACGGCCTCCTTTGTTAAAGTTTGCCCATCAAATGAGGCCAAATGTACGTCGTTGCGCCGCCCCCGTCTTGCACTTTTGTGAAAAAAATGCATAGAACTCCACGACTCGTTGCGGAGGTGGTGGAGGCGGGAGGCGGAGCTGACCGGGTATGATCTGCTCTCTGGCACCTATAAAAGACGATCCTTCGTCTCAGACCGTTTATCCAACGTGTTCTCTCTTTCCTCGTCTCCGTCGCACAACAGCGAACTCCCAAGGCGATGGTGGTAGCGAGTTCGATTCGATACGCCGGAAAGAGAAAGGGAGAACCGACTTCTGCTTTAACTGCTTCTGAACTTCCAGATGTCTACTTCGTCTTATTGCCGTTTTGTGTGGGGCCACTCTTCTGGAGTGGGCTCGCCGTCGTTGAGAGATATTGGGCACAGCTACGCCCTTTGCCCTCTGAAGAGCTCTGTGGGCACTCTCCTTCTCCACTTTCTGGTTACCGTGTATGATATCAGATTTTACCCACTTACGCCCTATTTGAAAAATAGTCGAGACCTGGTAGCTGGCGGTAGCCATGGTTGAAAAATTTAGCTTGCTTGTTCGGTGGAAATCCCTGAATCCCAGGCTCAAGGGTTCTGGAACACCAGGTAAGCTCGGCTCGGATTCTTGAGTAGTGGCATTTGGGTGCCTTCATCATGAGCGAGCCTGTAAGTTTTGATGTTTCTATGGGAGTATCGCACGTCTCTTTTCCAGGTAACATCCCCAGTACTTCAGTAGACTCTCCAATTGAGCTGGATCACATAGATAAGTCACGTCATCTGGTTCTGAAGGAGCAGGTGGATCAGACGTTGTCCACGACCACAACGCACGACCACCCGCTGTGTCATATATCTCGCAGTTAACTTTTCAGCCCATCGTTTCCGGCCGTTTGACCTAGCGGAGCGCAATGTGGGCGGAGCGGAAAGTCTCACGAAAGTCGCAAAGGTCGAGCGCTCTTTCTGTAGTTACTGCGATCACACCGTTGGTGCAGATCATTTATCAGCACGAGATCCTTTGAATCTGATTTTTCGTTTTCTATTTCATCTCTCCATCTTTTCTTATCCTATCGTTAGGCAAAATATAATTACAAAGTGCTATTGTCTTGTTTACTCTTCATATCTCTTCAGTTAGAACTTTTTAAGTTTTTAGCAGCTGCCACCTTTGTGAGTTTGAAGTGGCTGACCTTCGAACAAAGTCCAGCATTATGTAGAATGGCAGTGTCAGCACGATCCTTCCCGAAAATCTTTCTTCTGACACCCGCCCCTCCCTTCCCTTACCCTACCCACCATCTTCGTAAGTTTTCCCAACTTCCCACCACATTTCCCCTTAGATTTGTCAGTTTTTCCTCCGAGAAACTGCCGTCTAGCGAAGGGGTGGGAGTGAGGGGAAACAACGGTTAACAGCGAGCATAGAACGAAAAAACTTTTCATGTGGGAACTTCTCAGTGGCATGTACGACCCCACTCTTCCCAGCGCCTCGTCCCCCTCATCGGAGTTTCGCAATGATGTCGTACCCTCTCTTCGGAGACTGCTCCAGTACCAAGGGAGCCGTAGAGAAAAAGATTTCAAGCTTTATCGTGCAGCTCGTTCACCCTTCAGGAAAGAGATTTTATTCCCTTGGTGCAGGGAGGAGAGGGGGAGGAGGGTGGAAACGTGATCGGAAGAGGGGATCTCCCTAGTAGATCTTCGGTTGTTCATTTATTTGAGAAGATAAACAGCAGGGCTATCGTTTTTTGGTGCGATTTTAAATTCCTGGACCAACTTTGGAAGGGCCATACTAGACCTGCTTGTTTTTTTGAAATAACGGAAAGGAAAATAGGAACCCTACCTCTGAAATGAAAAATGAGGACCATGTAGCATAAAAGGACACTCAAAATAAAATCAGAATAAGGAACATTGCAGGGACTAATCAGGGCGAGTAGGAAAATTATCGAGTAAAACCTTCCTCTCCACTTTTTCCCAATTTAGCCTTAACCCAACTCCTTGATGAAACTCTACCGCGCGCTGAATTCACCTCGAGAAATGACTGGAGTTCCGCTGCTACTGGTCCTCAAAGCAGCTCAATCGGCCAAAAACCATCTCGTGCAACCACTAATCACTGAGCCCTTCTTTTTTCCATGATATGAGGGAATCCTCAGAGAGCTCAAGAGAAGTGCTGAGCGTGTGGAAAATGTCTCGTTGACCGGCCACTCTATTCCCAAAATAATCGTTTTTATGCGACATGCCCTCGCCCCACCATCCCCTCCTACTCGCCCCTAGTCCTTGCAGCTCTTCTTGTTCCATCGCGCAGGAGGACGAAGGTCCGGTCTTAAAAATGGCGATTCGGTTTTCCAGCAGACATTGTAAATGTAGCAAACCACCAACTAAGGGGACATTGTAAATCTGCGGAACCACCATATAAGGGAAGTCTATTGGTCGGACGGACAGGAGCGCGGGGGGCTGAATCAGCAATAGAGAAAGTCCCCAAGGGCCGAATTCATCCCCTCCTTTACCCACTTGGCCTCCTTAGCGACCATACAAGATGTGAACATTACAACAATGCGTTGCTGATTATTCTTACTACAAACTCATGGTCAGTTCCATTTCGCCACAGCTGGAAAAGCATAGAGGATTGGGAAAACTGCCCTGGAACCGGCACCCCTTCTAGCCCACCATGGAACGTCCCAAAATCCTTTACTTTTTTATGAATGTTAGTTGTTAACGGAAGAATTTTTCAAACACTTCCGTAACTTCTTCGGTTTTCTCAAGTCAACATCTTCTCTTTTTTTCACGATCGCGCAGATGTTCCGATGATTTTTTTCTTCTATGAAGTACATCAGGCGTAAAAACGTGTCGGATTCCCTGTGAATTTTTTTTCAACGAAACAAATCAGCCGTGAAAATGTCGTTGTTTCAGAGATGCACTCATCGTTGCTTCTCTTGATTCCGGGGATCGTCGCTTACAACGTTCCATTTCTGAGCGGTGGCGCACAAATTTCGCATTCAGGTGAGTATTTGAGAACGAGCAGAAGGGCGCAGTTCGGCTTGGAAGGGGCATTTGCGCTTTTTCGCTACAGTCAAGCCATCAAGTAGGGATCCGTGAAATCCTGGAATGCTATGAATGAAGTGATATCAGTAAAAAAGCTTCTAGTCAACTGTCGTGTAAAGCATGAACACGACAGTGGGATGTACCGAAAGTACAAAATGTACCCCCCAAGCCTAATTGTGCCACGACAAAAGCTGAAATTGCTACTGAAGCCTGCAATCTAAGTACTTCCTCGCATATTGTATATGAAGAGAATCATTCTTCACAAAGATTAATGGTTTGCACTTATTACTTTTTTTACATCAAACATCAAGGTCACCACTACATTAATGATGGCGAAATGTTTTTCCGGTAGCGCAATTTGAACGAACTAAGAGGACAACATGGCAGCGGGGGGGGGAGGGGGTGAAGAGCAGTTCCAAAAAGTGTCGGGTCTGAGTCAAAATTAGAAAGGATTCGAAAAAACACTCGCCGACCAGTTCAAAGACTGTTGTGAGGAAAGGGTTTCATCAGAAGGACGTCGACAAAGCATAGACCAGCCGGAGGGAAATGTTTCCCAGGATACCATGATGGCGGGGAGCCTAGCTCGTACCCTAGGGAAATCAGTGAATTTTCCATGAGTTCCCGGTTCTCGTCTTTTAACGTTCGGAAAAGCCGCTGAAAAAGCTTGGAGAGCTTCAAAAAGAGCGTTTTAGGAACCTCCCCGAGAACTAACGTGAAAATGACTATCGGGGCTTCTTGCGATGTGGGTAGGATCTAGGAAAAGTCCTCTCCCTGATGTTGTTGATGTTCCAGGAACGAGCAAAAATTCTATAAACACCTCACTCAACTATATTGCGGTCCCATTCGCTATTATTTAATTTCAGGACCATCATTTTCAACGGCAGAGGAGCCAGAAGTGGTCCGAAAGAAGCGCGGCTACTATTTCTCCCCAGTGTACTATGGCAATCAGCTGTTAGTGGCAGCTAATCCACCGAATCAGTATCTACAAAAGTGGATTACCCACGAGCACAATCGCTACCGAAGAATGGTGAGTGGGCCAAAATCAGATGGATTTCTTCCCGGAACTGCGCTATGTCCATGCCAAACTTTAGGTGCCCGCTTCGGATATGAACATGCTGTACTGGTCCGACGAACTGGCTGCTTCGGCACAGCGACATGCGAACACCTGCGATTTCCGTCACTCCAGATTCCGAAGGAACGTTGGCGAGAATATCTGGGCAGCACCTTACAGCAACTATTCTGACGCTATCTCGTTGTGGTTCAATGAGGTTAGTCCTTTGAAGAGATTAAGAGTAGTTGGAAGTGTTTTGCGCTGAAAATGGTAACTAGGGCCCTCTGAAAGAGCAGTAGTCTCCTAGGTAGATCTTTTTCTTCATTTGAGCGCTAGCTTTCGTAGGATTCTTGGTTATGAGCTCTGAAGCTCTTGAAACACTCTTCTATATCGTGGTCACCCCAAAAATCGTAAAAACGGACGACATGGGAAGCCGAGACCGTGCAACTGTGACCGATCAGTCACGGTTATATCAAATTAGATCCTCGTTGGGGTTCTCATCTTCTCAAGGTCTCCCAATTTGTTTTGCACTTTTCCATAGAACACCTCGGATAGAAGGAAATGAATACTGATACAATTAAAAATTGTTTGGTAGAATCTACCAGAGCTCTTTTTTAGTGTTTTTTAGAATATCACATCAGTCTAATTGGCAAACTTGTTTCTATTTCGTCATTCCCGAAAAACATTCCCAGAGAGTGATAGTGAAGGTTTGTGACGGAACCTAAGCAGGTCCTTTTTGGGGTGTCCTCCCCTCCGCCCGAGCTTGGGAGGCCATTCATCTGAGTGTATGAAGTGAAGTTGCAAGTGGGTTAGGGGAACAGAACCGAGCTTATCTTCGAGTGCAGGGCACCCCTCGCTGATGAAGAACGGTTGCTGCGCTTTTGTTTCTACACGGTTCTTCTACCCCCTCCCCCATTACGCGGGAACTAGGAGCATACGTGCGACTAATAATCAGAGTAAAATTGAGGAGTCACCAACAAGAACAAGGGTGAAGAAGCAAAGTCCACTCAGTCACGTCAGGCACCATACAACTGGGTCTTCCTCAGGCTGCACACCCCCCCCCCCCTTAATACGGCCATATAACGTTGTACGACTTCTCGACGGAAGGTGAGTGTCGCAATTATCTTCCCATAAAACTAAACTACCCTACCGTCGAAGCTTCCTGCGACGAACTTAGGGCCAATGCCTTCTTCTTTTGTTCGCTGCTACAAAAAAAGCCGTGGTGAACTTCATAGCCCCTGCAGAAACGTGTAGTTCAATCATGGACAATTTTCAGGTGCATAATCCGCTATGCGCTTGCAATCACGCCTACAAGCACTGCTGTGGTCACTACGTACAGGTGAGGCTTCTTGTTCAATTTTAGCCCTTTTTGAGAGTACCACTCATCCTTCGATATCCATATTTTCCCCAGTAGATTGTCCCAAAGCCGGTGCGTCTGCTGAAGACCACCCACAGCTTAGCTTTCTGGTCCTATCTTGTCCCAGCCCGCTGTTGATTGATTGCAAACTTCCGGCGCGTTCGAGATGCGATTTTTTCTCGCCCGCGGACTGTCTGTGATCAGGCCATACCGCCACCACTGTTTCTGCGACATTTGCAAGAAAGAGAATTGCTCCCAGGCAGATTCCGAGCGCAGATCGATTTCTATCGTGCAATTTCACTCTGCAAAAGCTTCAGAATGATCAGGAGCTTTCTCCACGGACACTTAGGCAGCGATTACCGTGTCTCTTAGATAAACGATATTCCCAGATTTACGATAACCGGAAGTACCGTAACGGTGCTCCGAAAAAGTTTTTCCCATTAAGAAATCCCGCAAAGTGCCTTTGCAATCATCATCTCGCCGACCATTAAGGGATACGGGCATGGGGATCGATTGATGAATGATGATGATGGTTGCGAGCTGCTCATTGGCGGCGATTACCTTGGCGCATTTTCACTCCCACCGATCACCTTTCTGCAGACTTTTGGGCGACCCCTATAGAATCGGTCCGCTAATGCTGAACTTGGCTCTTTTACAGGTTGTTTGGGCAAAAACGAACTTGGTCGGCTGTGGTTTTGCCAGATGTCGTGACGTCCAGGGTGTGCTTGGACGTGGTCACCGGAACGTCTTCGTCTGTCACTACAATCCACAAGGAAACACGGTATTCGTCACTGGATCAGGACAGCTTTACGCGGTTGGTGGTCCCTCACCCCCTGTCAACTCTAACTACTCTTTGCTGACTATGGGGATTTAGTGGACGATGACGTCATCGACACTCTAAAGGTGACGTCATCGTTCACAACTTTCACATTGTCCGTACTCTGGCCATTAACCATCCCAACTAAGAAGTCTGTTTCGCTTTGGCTCTTTGGATTGCAGTGAAGAACTAATACTAACTAATCGATATCTATCAAATTCATGTGTCCTTTGATGGCTGGACGACCCAGATACTCACACTGTGGAATGTTTAATAATTTCTTGATAACCTGTCCGCAGCGCAGCGATTTCTCACATTTGTCAACAAGGGGTGGCTAAAGGTCAGCAGCGGTCAATCAAAGTGCTACCTTCTCGAAGGTCACCCTTATAACTAAACTGTAGCTCGCTGGAGTTTTGCAGGCGATTAGTTCCATTTAGAATGTAGTGATGGGGTTTGCAGACTGCATATGCTGGTTTTCAGGTGCAATCCGATGACGAGTAGATTTCGGGGGAGGGGAGGGGGAAGGGAGGTCCCTGAGCATCCATCAGTATTTTGGAATTCCTCTTAGGTTCACTGAGCGCTCTTATCAGATTAAAAAAGCTTTTGCCTATGGCTTTCACTAGGGTAAGACGCTCACTGGTAGCATTTACAGTCCACATAAGAATCAGGGCGCGTCGCAGTTTGGGGATTCCCAGCGAGCTGGGGTCGTATTTGGTCGCTGTAGGGGGGGGGAGAGTATATTTTCCTTCAAAAACAGTGTTTTTTGGTCGTACACTTAGCTCAGTGTTTCCTGTTTCCAGCCTGTTTCGAGTGCACTGCCCTCTTCTACCCCGCTTGATGGGGCAATTTTTTCCGCAAAAATAGCCAGGATTTCTGGAAAGAACGGCGCAAAGTGGTGCAGTGTAAGTGATGCGGTGTAGTTGTAAGCTGTATATCCCGTTAGGATTGTCTCGTGCCAACAAAAAGGGAGGGGGGGGGGGAGGCGAAATTCCTGAAAGAGAGCTCGCATTTTCGCAGAAATACTTTCCCCAACACCACGCTGTGCCATGTCAGCTGGATGCAAAAGCCGGGGACGGCTGCGTTCTCCCGTGGCGGCTCTCATCCCTTACACCTCTTATGCCGTTCCAGCCACCCTCGCAGCCATCGCTTGGTAACGCCCCTTTTTGCCTTCTGATATGCGCTGTTATCAATTTCCGAACTGACCACATGCAGCAGCAGTGGGATATGATAAAGCAATCTTTGCAATGTCCCGCCCTTGGGTATTGCTTTCATTTCGCACAACAATCAAAAAAGCCGAGTTACTGGCCAGGATTGCTCTTTTATAAATAAAACTCATTTACTATCTTGACCGATTTTCAAATTATCCCACTTTCCTCAAAAAAGCGAGGTGTACCTTCGATTCCTATACTACAAAACTTAGGCCAAGTCCTCTCAACAGATTCTTTTATGCTGCCCCATTTTCAGGTGCCAGCATTCACGTGGGCTACCGGGAATAAGGGCCGTTGTTCGGATTGCCCGCCGTCTGCACCGGCCTGCTTCCAAGGACTTTGCTACATGCCAGCCGAACCGATACATGCCGACTGAACGCTATACTACCACCAACGCTCCATTTGTCACCGAAGAGTCGACAATGTACCCTGACTCGAAATGGGGTGACTCCACTAACTCGCCTGACTCAGGTTTTTGAGAGGGTGCTGCGGTAGTTGTCATCTGTTATGTCATGCGGGAAGCCGCCGTATTCTTGGGTACCTACCCAAGAATACATTGCCTCGATCTAGATCAAATTACTGCCTACCATTAGGGGTTATTATTTGCTATTTATTGAAGACGCCAGTCATAAAAAATGCGGCGTTATAGTGTCGACAAAATTGTCGACGTTTCGAGAATGGTCTGTATGAATAAATCATCTCGTACATGTTATGTCTTCCTTGTTTGATTTAATTGCTGGTTTTACAAAGTTACAGCCTTTGGCTATGACAAGAGCTGATTTGAAAACCCAAAGTTAGTCCAAAAAGCTCTCGAAAAGCTTTGGCATCGTGAACGACTGACCACTCCCCAGATAGGACGAGTTTCATCATGTCTGCTTGTCTACACCCTTTCACCATAACAATATGATATGTTCCAGACTTAACTTCGCTACCAATTCATTTCTTACATTTCGCAGTTCTTTTCTACTTTTCGCCATATAGTGAGAAAATTCCGCATTAATGCATTGTGTCGGCTGGCTGGAATACCTCAAAAACTTTGACTTGGAAAAATGATAGCGTGTTCCTTGAACACTGCTCCCTACTCCTTTTTTGCAGACGCCACGCAACGCGGATCTCCCAACCAACATTCAAAAAACAATAGTTTACCCCCTCTTCTCAAGTCGCGAGTGAGGGTTCATAACCACACAGTTAGCGGAAAACGAACAGAAATTATTAGGGTGATCAAAGAGAAGCTGTGCGCTCACCACAGAGAGCATCCTTGCCATGAGCGAAGCAAACGGGCCCACATGCAGTGGCCATGCGCCGCTGTCAATTCTTTTCGCTCAAAAAAAGCACCATAAGAGTGGGAGGTGTGCAGCAGTTGCGTTATGTTGACCGAGATCCCACCTCAGCGCTTTACGAGAAAACCCAGAAGTGAGAAGGCGCAAACATATAGAGCGTTTGGCTATGTTTCAGGCGCGTGATCTGGCCGTGCAGCAGCAGTGTGCGCAGGAGTGGGAACTTGACTGTGGGGGGCCGGGCCCGGCCACCACCACCCACTGCCTTTCCCATTGTTGCACTTTAGTGACCGCCAGTACGTGACACCCCAATTGCCAGCTGCGGCCCATTCTCTTCAACAACACAAGGCAAGGACCCAGGATCCACGGAGGTACATTCGCCTCGTCATCACTTGATAGTCAATGTCAGTGCGGCTGCGTGCGGCGCGGTCGCCCGCACCCGTACTGCACCAATCGTTGAACCAGGAAGTGACATTACTGTATTATATCCTTCGTGTTACTCGTTTTCTATCACTTTTTGTCGCATACGCGTTTCAACGAAAAGGCTGAGAAGGCTTCAAACAGTGTGCACGCTCCTTCTCGCCGACACGCCCCTATCAAGTGCAAGGATGACGACTGTACAGTCCTCATCATTGCGGACCGGTGGGGCGTGGCAGTGCGGCTGCGTTTGGTGCGGTTTGGCAAAGACGTTCTGCACCAGTTTTTGAAGCGGGCAAGTGCATTACTGTATAATATCCTTCGTATTACTCGTTTTCTACCACTTTTTGTCGCATACGCGTTGCATCAAAAAAGGCTGAGAACGGCTTCAACAGTGTGCACACTCCTTCCGGCTGATGACCGCTCCCCCGGTCAGCAATGGTTGAGGTATGTGTACACTTTATGTGGGTCTCAGCAGTACTGACCAGAAACCTGGGAACAAGTAAGCATTGACTCCTTGGTACACTGCAGTTCACTAGGTGTAAAACATTCGAGTCAGGTTCTCAACTACCGGCCGAGTATGAGGCGCTAGCATGTATGAGCTCATGTCCGACTGATAATGCATTTGAAAATGGATGTTCTCTCATTCCTCTTTATTTTTTTCCAATGCCCTGCTGTACCGCCATTCTTGACATAGGCAATTAAAACTGAAAAATTCTTCCGCTGCCAGAAGTTGACGGCGCTTTATGGCAAGGGGCAAGGTGGGGCCATGTGCACTTTCGCTGCTTCACTAGTTCTGGTTAACAAGTTACACTTGAGTGGAGCCTCTGACTTCTTGTGAAGCAGGAGGAAGCTCGTCGAGCCGCCGTGCGTGAACTGCGTCCTGTCTATTCTTATAAGCTCCGTGAAATCGCTCTCTAGCTGGCAAACGTCGATGAGAAGTAGCAAAAGTCCAAAATGCCCCCTCTGCCCACGCCGAACTGCTCGTAGGCGACCAGGGATGACGTGCGTCATGCAAGAATGAAAAAATCTAGGGGCTTCCAAAAAATAGGGCAGCCATGGGCTTCAGATAAGTGTTTTCGTCCACAAAAAAAGGAAGAAAACCCTCGTTGGCATCTCCTGCTCGCTTCATGCTTGAGTTACAAGCATATTTCAAGCACTGCTGAAAAACCTATGTGCGTTTACATGTAGTACACATGAATTCGAAGGATATGCACTGCAAATGAGTGAAATGCGGATATCATTGGCCCCTCCCCCTCCTAAAGCAGTCAGCACAGCCTCCTCCAATATTGTTCTCATCTGAAATTCGTTCCTAAGTGGGGACTTTGCTATAATATCTCAGTACTATGCATCTGAAGCATGTTAAATAACACACGGACATTCCTGAGCATGCGGTTAGGCGTCGGCTGCGTACTTCAACTCAAACGCTTGGCCGGTGACTCTGTTCTTGGAGTTAGTAGAAACCAAGAGATACGCTCGACCTCGTTAATGACTGTCGCACAATACTGATTCGAGCATATTTAGGCGAGTTGACCGAAGCGACCTCATCCAGGCACGTCAGCCGACGGCACGCACGAGCTATCAAATCGGCATAAATTGAGTGAAAACTCTCAACAGATTAAGTAGTATAGTAGTTGTGTTGTGCAATTGAAATATCTCACCAGTAACCCATGCTATGCCAGGTTCAAGTGCCACGCCTACTCCGTCTCAGGGATAAGCAGTGTACTTTTCTGGGTGTCCTCCTTCGTGACAACATACCCCTTTTTTGTTCACTTGCACTTTGTCGAAGGCAGGGGATCGTTTTAAAACGGAAATCAGCGTTGTAAAATGCTTGTTGTATTGCAGTTGTACTGAAGTTTCTCTGGAGCTTTGCCAATGCGAAAGCGATCTTTGACGGGTTTTGATGAGAGAACTGGAAATCACAGGCGAGCTATAATGGCGAAGTACAGATTTACCCTATTAGACCACCACCCTCTCCCCCCCCCCCCTCCTCCTCGCCTACTACTAGCTCTCGGCGACCAAACACGACCTCCCGACAGGATCCTCCCAGCAATACTGTACCTTCGTACTGCAATAATAATAATACAGTACCCTTATGTGATTCCGCTACCTGTGGGAGATTTATCACTTCTCTCTTACATTGCAACTTCTTTTCGTGAGAAATCCTTATCATCTGCTGATAACGTTTGCAAAAGGGTTTTATGATGGATAACAGTGAACGAATCGGCATTATGATCTTTCGTGTTAAATCTGCAGAGGAATTTAGCGCTAAGAGAGCTTATAGTTCGTTGGTAACATTTTTGAACTCTCGCGAACCCTTCCAGCTTATCGTTCGGCGCTTAAAAAGAATTTGATCAAACACCCAAAATCATTGTGACGCGCGTAACGTGTTCTCTGACGATAACGACCTTCACAGAGATAAGCGCATGCCTCTTGCAACTTAATACGCGCGTTCTCTTCGTCGCAAGTGCACAACGACTGACGCATGCCACCGGAAGTCCGCTCTGAACACCGTGCAGGAACGCTCGCGCTACTGATAGGCAATTTTGTATCATTTGTTTGGTGCCTGCAGGGAACACGAGGTGCAATTCCATATGGCATGAAGGTGAGGGGGGGGGATTACAAGATTGTCAGAATATCACTATAAAAGGCGGTACTCCTCCTTTCCTTTACTGATGAATGCAAAGCAAAAATACAACGTTTTGTTGAGTTTCATTCTGAGGGCACGAGCGAAACGGAATCTAGACCTCTCTAGATCATTCCGCTTGAATTCAATTGGTAGAAGATCCTATAAAAGGTCATAACCGTAAAAATAACTCATAAAATCGAATTAAGGTACATTGTGAGCTTCCACGCAAGACGGGGAAGGTAAGAATAGGGCGGTGGATGTCCCCATTTTATGGGAGGAATCAGAAGAGCGCTTAGTTGTCACGAGACGCGGGTTCTTACGACATATCTTCGAATGGC